GCCCAGCTCGCGCCGGGTGTGGCCCGCGTTCTCGCGCGCGCCGAGCCGTTTCGGGGGCCGCCGAGGAGCGGGTTGCCCGGGCCGGAGGCCGCGGCCTGGGTGGGAGTGTTCCCCCGTCTCGGTTCCGACCCGTGGCGGCACGACCTCCCGCGGCCGCTGCAGTCGTCCCCCGCCCCGCTTCCCTCCCCGCCTGCCCGCGGCCGATCCTCGCGGCCCTTCCGCATTCCAGGGCCGGGCGGCGCCGGCGCTGGAATCTGACCCGGGCGGGCCGCCACCCGCCAAGGTTTGGGGGTCCCCTGCGCCAAAAGCGGCCCTCCTGGGGTTGCCAGCTGTAGCAAGTGATAGTACAGTTCGCCTAGCTAAATTAGTTTCAGATGAACCAGTAATGTTTTAGGGTATGTCCCACGTAATACTGGGATAGGAGGGCAGGCGGCCTCCGGCCAGCTCTGCAAACCCTTTCTCCTTATCAAACCTCACTCCAGCCAGATTTCACTCTACTCTTTAACCCTACTCTTTCCTTACACTCAAGTTACAAGGTTTACCCACTACAGCCTATGGCTGTTTCATCCCCTTTCAACCACAAGAAAGTTTTATTCAAATTATTTGCTTTCCTTTAAGTTATTAAAGAGATGACTTCGCACACACATACATGAGCATACCCACATTACATAACGCTCTTGGTCAAAACAAAGGAAAATAGGAAGCTGCATTATTCAGGTTTTGTTCTAGATATTGCTTGTGGCTATAATCTTCAGGATGGTTCCCCTTACCTCGGAATAATCTAGATGAAAGCACTATTTCAGGATAGTTGAGGATAGTCAGCCTAATAGCGAATCTTTATTGAGCACTTATCGCCTTAACGTGCCAGGTGGTGGGGAGATGAATGAATAACTGTCTCTTTCCTCAGGACTTTTATATTCTAGAAATCTTTAATCAGAAATTCCTAGAAGGTAAGAACTGTGTTCAGCACTCTATAGTGCACTATATACTCTTAAACAATAGCACATATACCGGAGGGCTTAAAACAAATTCTTGAGCCTCAAAACCTGGAATTAGGATTCAGTAGGTCAGGGATGGAGAATACTTTGAATTTCTAGTAAGCACCCAGGTGATGCTGATGCTGTGATCTTCATCTGAGTAGCACTGCTCTAAAATCCAGTTCATAACAATGCATTTTCTCAATAGTGCTTGAAAGGCGATTGCTGAAGTGTCACATCTGGTTCTAAAGTATTTACTCTTTCCCTCAGCTGCAGTCTGCCCTTTCGTTCGATAGTTTAAATAATTTTTCCTGATCATCAGAAGATTTTGGCTTCTTAGGTTTTTGTCACAGAGCTCTTCCAAGTGTAGTCTATTACCACCCCATAAGCCCTCACCCTGGCCACCTTAAGATCATAGCTGAGTCACCCTGACTGTACTCTGACTTTGTATTTGTTTCTAGAACTGTGCTGTCGAACACAGTGGTCACTAACCACATGTGGATAGACACATTTGCATTAGACACATTTTTAGGGCTCAATAGCTACATGTGGCTGGTGTCCTTATTGGACATTACAGAGTATTTCCATAATCACAGAAAGTTCTATTGGACAGCACTGTTCTAAAGAAATAATTCTAAGGTATACTGTTATCTCTATACTCAAAAGAAAAACTCATTTAGTGATGGAAAGCTGTTTAAATATCCAGCACTTAGGAAATCATTACTTATGGCATATCCATGTCAAAGATAATTGTGATCATTAAGCATGGTTGAAAAAGTATTGTACTCAAAACTCAAAACAAGACAATTATGGTGGCTATGCCAAACATGAAAAACGATTTAAGAAATATTAAACTAAGAAACAAGTTGTAAATACACATTACAACTTTTAAATGTGTGTGGATAAACACTGGAGAATGGTCATGACAAGTGATATTTGAGCAAAGACATCTAGAACAAAAGGATACAGGTACTTGGAATTTGGAAGAGCAGGGGGAAATGGGATAAGCAGCACTGGGAAAACTGGGCATTTCTTTAAGGTGGGATTAGCTCCAGAAATTCCTTTAAGGACAAAGATAAAAACCAGGTTTCAGGGAAATCAAGAAATTGTACACTGAAGGAGGACCTAATGAGAGACACACAAGTCTGGCATATTGGACCTGGCTCAGGAGATCGAAAAGAATAAACTATATGAGCATCTACTAGGTACCTGGCAATTTGACAGGCCATAGTCTTATTTATTAAATCTTCATAATGACCCTTTAATATAAAGAAATTCTAGTTTGAAATAATTTACTATCAGTCAACTTTGAATCTCCTAACCTCAGTCCTTTACTTAATCTTCAACTACCATTAAACTCATATCTTTACCTACCCTTCCAGAACAAGAATCCATCTTTAGTTTTCTAAGGATAACCGTACATGTGATCTAGGTTTTCCCTTCCTATCTCCTGAAGGTAATTCATTGTTTTCTTCTAGTTTGTCTTCTTTCCCTCTGTCTACAAACAGGCTTGAATCTCTGAAGACATGCCCTTTGACCCTTCTCTTTACTGGCCCCCTGATAAAATGAACAAGAATAACTACTATTTGGAAAACTACTGTGTCTCTGACCATTTACCTTTTGTGTTTCTAATTTTCACAACAAACTTGGAGGGTACTGTCCATGTCTCACAAATGAAGAAGCTGACACTTAAGAGCCACCTGCCCAAGGACACAAAGCTAGTCAAATTCTGGGTGGAATTCACTCAACCACGTGGGGTTCCAAACCCACAATGCTCTTAATCACAAAAATGCTGCTTTATATATTAATAGTATGTTCCCATTAGGAGCAATAGCCTTACTTCCATTTTATAAATGAATAAATTTGGTCAAGGGAGGTTAAATAACTTAAGGTTAAAAAGACATATATACCACAAATGGGACTTAAATGCAGGTCTGCCTGACCCCCTAACCTAGGCATCATTCACTATTTTGTGTTGCGCTGTGGACTCTACACTCAAAACTCTACCTAATAGCTCTAACAAAGGTGACTAAATGACTTGCCCAACCTAGTGGCCTCACTTAAACTTTCCCATACTCAAGTTTTCTGTGGTTTGACACTACTGGACTACCCTCCTTATTCTTGAAATTCACTTGGTATTTGTAACCCTCTTTTTGTGGACCTATTTACCCCTCCAAGCTCTTATTTCATCTTCTGACCCTTAAGTCTAGATATTACACCTCTTGTCCTTCCCCTCATACTTTGTAAAAAATGGTTACCCTTCCTTCTCAGAATTTGCTTTTATCTTGTCTCATAATCTGGCCTTACTCTTTTTTCCCAGTGGCATTTAATTCCTGCTGTCATCGAGTCACAGCTTCCTTGATCAAATAAAATTTGGGACAATACAATCATAAGCAGTTAGATGAAGATGCTGCCTCCACTGGGTTGGTATGTTTCATCAGAACTTTTGAAATGGTTTGTTTCAAGTATGACTTTCATCATACTTTCTAAAGACTGTTTTTTGAGTCAAACCCACTTTGAGTAGATGCTTTTAGCTTTTTATTGGCAATCATCCTTGCTTAAGCAAAGCCTAATTACTAAGCAGAGAATGCTATTACGAAGCTAGAGACTTATTTCATTCAAGGTAGACCATCTACTCTTCCTATTGAAGGCTGGTTCTTTGAGCAGTTATCTAAAATGGAAATGGGGATACTGCAAGAGATCATTTTAGTAGTACCTTTTTTTTCTGTAGTGGAAACAATGTTATTTGTTCTTCACTAGAGATTTAACAAAGCAGAGGTGATAATTTTTTCAGCTGAAATGGAAACTTAATAAAACAAGATTTTAGCACCATGGTCATAGTCTGGGAAAAGTATTTTGCTTAAATCACTGAATGAAATTCAGCAACACATAAAAAGCAAAGAATTAAGGAAGGTTCTAAGATTCTAATATTGAAGGGGTCAAGGACTAGTTGTTACTAGTCCTTCTACTCCTGTTCTATATTGCTGGCCTTACCAGGTTAAAGGACCTAGCATACCTATCCTACTGAGTACAAAGGCCTGCTGCCCAGAAGGCATTCAGTAATTGTTTATTGAATGAGGTAATGGTTTTGTCCAAGGGTAGCTTTGTTTAATAGCAGCACAAAACAAAGTTAATAGAGTAATTATCTATTATTCAACTTTGCAGACTAATTGTCAACTCTTTTCAACTCCCCCCACCCCCATGTTTCAATTTCTAAACTGAGTCAGATTTTTGAAGACTAGAGAGAATGAAACTGTCTACCACTCCTTGATTAACTCTGAAACAGTCCTGCATTCTGCAAACAGCAGAAGTTATTTTTAGGATGAAATAATGACCTCACTTTCCCAGGCATGTAGCTCCAGCTGTTTTGATTGTGGGTAGGTCAGCAATGTCCAAAATTCATACATGGACTCATGCTGAGTCTCTGCATAAACAAATATAGTCTTTCAAGAGGGATTGCTGTGTTAAGGAAAGACTATATAAAATACTGTATTGTATTCCAGCACTTTGAAATACAACACAAAAATCTGTCTTTTTGGTAGAAGCATTCCACAGAAACTGTGAGGCTAAAATAGTTTTAAAAATAGGACAAATTAAAATTACACTCAGTGGCCTGATCTAATTTTAAATGGCATGAAATAATGTATAAAAGCTTAGATAAAGTAGGGATGTTGGCAAGTATGTCAAACTTAAGGACTTAAACCTACTGAAGCTATCATATATATGCAAATTCTACAGAAAATTATTTTAAAAACTGGAAGACAAAGTGTAGAAAAATTACTAGGGTAGTCAAAATTGGATTTTTTTGGGAGGGGTGGAATGAATAGGAGTAGAAGAGAAGACTGTTAGGAAAACTGGAGGGAGTAAGAGAGAGTTCTAACAACTGTATTATTTTCTAGGATTTACCTCATCTACCTTTCTTTGGAAGATATAAAGAAACTAACAAAAGCTAACTTTGTAAATAAGAAGTTTAAACAAGTAAGTGTTTTATCATAAAGTTTAATTATGGTTCAGAAAAAATCGAGTGATAACTTTCTCTGAAAAAATATACTGACTCTGTGTGGACTGCAGTTATTTTGGAGGGAGAGGCGGGGGACCTGGTAAGTTAAATTACCCTATTGTCTATTCTGAAAATAACAAAAAGTCCCATCTCAAGTCTGATTATAAAGATACATGTGCCCAAAGTTGCTGAGAATAAATACAACAGGAAAGGCAAAAGCTGTAAAGCTAAGGGCATGCAACAGGCTCTAAGAGAAAATCTCAGAAATACCCCACGTGGCAACAAGGAACGTTTGGCTGGAATTTGAAGTTCTTTTCAGTCATCCTTGTCTTTTGCTCCATGTTTAAGGATGCGCGTGAACTCAATGTAATTGAAATTCCCCTTTTTGTCAATGGGTGCTTCTCTGTACAGCTCATCCACTTCCTCATCTGTAAACCGATCTCCCATGGTTGTCAGCAGCTCTCTCAGGTAATCCTCCTGGATGGTGCCTGGAGAATAAAGAACAGGGATCAGAATACATACTATTCTGAGGATTAATTACAAAGAATATCTACATTTGACTGTGCAAGTTCTATATGCTAAAAACTATAAACATGCAAATATATGAAATAAACCGTTTCTTCCCACTTAAGGGAGAGCCTCAGCAGACAGCTGCCTGGAAAAATGCCTAGCTGCTTAGTGGCATTACTCTGCTTTATCAATCTGCCTCCACATCCATCTTCTGATCTCTGGAAGGAACCTCATGTTTCCTAAAAGTAGCATAAATGGTCATAACTACTCTATAAGCAAATAACAGTTACCTGCTAGCCACACTAAAATCAATACCACATCATAAACATCAATAAAGTACTTCAGTGGAAAGAATGCTGCAGTTTTGAAGCCCACTTTTCACAAGCTATGTGATTTCAGGCATCTCACTTTACCTCTGACTTTGGTTTCCTCATATGTAGAATGAGATTTTTAATGTTTACCAATCTAATTCATATATAACAACAAATATGGCGGCCGGGCCCAGCACGTGAAAAAACACGTTACAAATATGTGACCATCAGCTATGTCCCAGACACTGTGCTAGGCAACGGGGCTGCATAGTGATGAGCTGAAAGGTACACTTTTTACTCCAGGTTTTTGATACCAGGGTTATCATAAAACTTGCCTGACTATAAGAATGACCTTAAAACAAAAACAAAAGCCTGGATGTCACCCCCTATTTATTATCTGGTATTGGTATTTTTATAAGGCCCCCAAGTAACTGGCATGTGCAAACATGATTGAGAACCACTAAAGTACTATCCCAAGGGTGGTAAATGACAAATTCAAGCACAGAGATTTTTGAAAGTTATAAAGTAAAAAAAGAAAAATCTGACAATTTCCTTGTATGGGAAATTAAGCTAATACACAGATAATATATTTTTTATAAAATGAGTTTAAAGCATAAGATCAGTTCAGAAAAGAAACTCTAGGATTTGTGGGGGTTTTGATGATTCAATCCTAGATCTTAAAAAAAAAAAATGTTCCCCAAATCTTAGAATTTTAGCTTGTAGAAATAAATCCTCATCTCTGGCCAAGTTATTCAACTACCACATAAACTAATTGTCTACCATGTGCAAATTACTGTGGTAGGAGCTAGAACAGGTTATGAAGATGGGAATGAAACACTGTTTAAGACAAAGAGCCTTTATCCTGGGAGTGGAAAGAAACCCTGATGAGGAGTAAGTACACTACTAAAAACAAAAAGTCAAATAGAGTATGTGTCAGGAGAAAGATACAAATAAAATACCTTGGAGGTGGAACGAATGGAGAGGTTTTTAGTTTTCCTGGGGGCTAAGAGAAAATAGTAAGTAATCACAGGCAAGGCTCTGTAAAGAAAGTGAGCGTTGAGATAAGTATGAAGAATGGGTAGAACATTTTACTCTTGTATAGTTTTATTCTCTTCCTTTAAAAAGTAACACCTGCTTACAATAAAAAATTAAAGCAATACAGAAGAAGTGTCTTCAGGGAAAACAAAAACTTAAGTCTCCTCTGCCTACTCCTCCTCTACCCCACCCCTTCCAGAAAAAACTGTTAAAGAGTTTTGATTGTAAAAGGAGAGAAGAGGTGGTATGACAAAGAGGGGTAGAACAAGAACTTGTGGAGGTAAGTTAGCATGACAATGCGTAGTGAAGTTTGGTATACTTGAAAAGTCAAGATGAGGCCATATTGTGGGGAGCCTTGAAAGCAGGCCCTGCCAATCAGACAGCATTTAAACTAGTCCAAGTAACACAGCTAACCAAAGGGCGTGCCTTCCTTCCTTCTCTCATTTGGCCACGCTATGTGAATTGGGGATCTTAGGAAATATTCCCTTATGTGTTTTCTGTTATATTCACTTCTGTCAAAGGATCAGGTATTTACCTAGTTAACATTTTATTTTTTTGAGATTCAACTCTATGCCAGGCAGTATGCTAAGCACTTTATGTACATTACCTCATTTTCTCATTTAATCCTCACAACACTATGACATAGGTGATATTAATGCCCATTTTACAAATAAGAAAACAGTGGCTTAGAGAAGTTAAGTAACTTGCCCAAAATTACACAGCTACAGCTATTATGTAGTAGAAGGATTTTGAAATCAGGTAGTCTACTTCCAAAGCCTAAGCTCTACTTGGTTTATTTTAAAATAGAGGTCAGATATCAAATTTAAACAATTTTAGACCTGAGACATACCTGGTAAATAAACACAGGATTGTATTGGTGCCACGGTCTGTAACAATTTACATTTTACCCTAGATTACTCTGGTAAAAGTTACTCATTCAACACACATTTACTGAGCACCTGACCCTTGTGGAGTTAACATTCTAGTAAAGGAGTAACATAAGTTACCAAAGAGGTTTTAAAATGCAGCCTATTAAACTGCAAACTATTAGCATTTAAGCTCAGAGGCATCAGAGTGAGTGATGAACATGCCGAAGGAGAACTCTGTCCAAAAAAAATAGGTGTGGTATAAACCTGAGGGTGTTATGTTATTATATTTCAAGTTATTGCATATTTTAGTTACCATAACTAAAAATTAAATCATTTTATAATTAAAGGTTACCTGTGACTTACCAGTTGCTTCTTCATCAAAGCAAGCAAAAGCATTTCGGATGACATCTTCAGGATCTGTGCCATTTAACTTCTCACCAAACATGGTGAGAAACATGGTGAAATTGATGGGGCCTGGAGCCTCATTCATCATGGCATCCAGATACTCATCAGTTGGATTTTTCCCTAAACAAAAAAGAGTATCATAATTTTAACTATATTACAAAACGCATCAACTATTCATCATGGTAAACATTCTGGCAAGAAAGATAATCATTCACACAGTTTTCTGTTTGCATTCACGACAGCAAAACCATTTGGGAAAAAAATATTCTCAATGAATAGGGCCTATATTAAGAATCTGGAGATTGTTATGATATTCCATTGGGATGTCAGAAGGAATAATATTGCTTTCATAATCAAGATCAGTGTTTTTATAACACGACCCTCAGCCCAATAGGGCCAAGAATTTGCAGGTGGTCCCAGGGACATGCTGCTGTGGACTTTATTTGAATCTGAGTAGACTTGTTACCCTGGCTTCATAGAGCTTTAAGACACATGAAATAAATAAGAAAGGCATTATGGAAATTCTGACCAATATATTATTATTAAAACTAAACATTACCCAGTGAGGCAAGCATATCATGCAAATCTTCTTTGTCAATGAAACCATCTCTGTTCTGATCAATCATGTTGAAGGCCTCTTTGAACTCCTGAATCTGTGACTGGTCAAACATGGCAAACACGTTGGATGTTGCGCGCTGAGGGCGCTTCTTGGTGGTCTTGGTCTTTGCCCTCTTGCTCGACATGGTGGTGGTTAAATCCTAATTAGAAAAAGAAATACAAGAAAAACAAAATCAACATCAAGGATTACTTAAGTTTGACTCAAAACAATGATTAACAAAAGTAAATTCAGTCAATCTTCCTGATATGTTTGAGTTCCTTAGAAAGATGTGTCTTCAGCAGGGTAACATCACTTGTTAAAGATCCCTGTAAACTAATCAAAACCATTACACATAGAACCAAACTAAAAGAGAAAAACCACACTTGTGCTTTGACTTTTCTCACCCTTAATAGTTGCATTTTACAAAGCTCATCACTAATTTTGAATCCCAAACTATGACCAACATTAATTCAAGGCTCACATCAACAACACATATCCCCAGTATTGCTGTATATAACCTAACAATTTATAACCAAATCTACTGGTTTAATAACAATAAAAAAATAAGAACAAAACACCTTAGGTAACCAGGCTGTCCTATTCTCTGGAGGAGGATGTGGAAAGGAAGACTAACTGATGGAACAGGTTTTCATCTCCTAATCTCTACTGCCAAATATTATTCTTCCACTTTCAACTAACATTTCTTATTGTACCCTCACTTCTGGTCTCAAAGGAGTTAAAAAAAAAACATTTGTTGAAAGGCTAACGGAAAAGTACAGAAAACTGAAGTTAATTTATCTATAATTAAGTTTTATAGACACTGCACTATCCAAACCAGTTTCTTGCACTACAGTCACAGTAAATCACTTAAAGTAACTAAGACCTCTAAACAGAAATCAGAGCACAAGTTTTTAAAGCAATTTATTTTTAAAAGTTTTAGAAAATGTCTTAAAAGGTAAAGAAACTCTAATAATCTAAATTTATCCCTGTAAAATTTAAGTTAAAAAACAAAAAGTCTAATAACACCTAAAATGAAAAGGCAATTTTGCTTTCAACACTAAATCTTTAAAAGACCATAAAAATTTGTTTGAAGTTAAAAATCCCATAGTCATCAGATAATAAAATTCTACCATACCATCCTTCAGAGTTCAGGTTGAGATGGCAGTCTGCAAAACCTCTAACCAGCAAGAAGAGTAAGACACTGTATTGAGTTATATTCTTTCAAGCAGGTCTAAAATAGGCACTACTGATTTCATTCTCTGACCAGCATAACAATTTTAAAGCTTACGTTCTGAAAACAACATTTAGCTATGATGCGGCAAAACACTACGCCCTTGCTCTAAAAATAAGTCTGTGGACTGCAAAGAATGAACCTAGATCTCAGCACTCCAAAGTGACCCTGAAAATATAATGTTTCCTATGAGTTTAAAGTTAATTTCTTACATTCTTTCCTTGACTATATCACATTGCCCAGACTAAATTCAATTATGGAAACAATTAGAAATGCTCTGCCTAAAAATTTTTTTTTAGCTAAATCTGTTTTCAGATTTTAGTAGGAAATTCCACAAAGTGGGGTCACAAATTGCAGTCCATCCAATGTAGCACTCTTAGGCGGTACCCTGGAATGTACCAATGGAAAGATACAAGGGTACTTCAGATAGTTCATTGAAAAACAGAATTAAAAGATAATACAAATCTTACCATGAACTTTTTGAAGTACCCTCCTATACCCTACATGGCACAGATGTTACACTCCTCCTGAATTCCTAGCTTTAATTATCCTTTAGGAGGCTGCTTTTCATGACTTACCTAAGCCATTAATGAATACCTCTTTTCATTCTGTAACACCTTTAGGGGGCAGTAAATCCCATTATTTAAACTACATAGAATTGTACTTTCCCCCTCTATTCTAAATGTCGTTTTAAAAACTATAAGGAGTTATGGAGTACATTACTCCTCCATCTCTTAAGTTTACTCAAGGACTTGGGACAAGTGGTTGAGACCCAGGGAGTGACACATATTTACCAGTTCTTAATCTCTTTAATATTTTGGGCACGTCATGCTTTTTTGCAAGCCAAAGCACATCTTTAAAAATAGTCTGTTTTGTGTGACAACATTGTCTTCCCCTTATGATGCAGAATGTCAGTTATTTCAAGAACAAAGAAACTGATGAGAATTATAGGTCAAATGGTTGACATAACTGATTTTTTAATCTACAAAATCTCATGTTACTAAATTTGGCTGGTGTCCTCTAGATACGTTTTTAAAATGTTTAGTTTTGGGGCCGGCCCGTGGCTCACTCGGGAGAGTGCGGTGCTGATAACACCAAGGCCACAGGTTCGGATCCTACATAGGGATGGCCGGTTGGCTCACTGGCTGAGCGTGGTGCTGACAATACCAAGCTAAGGGTTGAGATCCCCTTACCGGTCATCTTTACACCAAGAAAAAATAAATAAATAAATAAATAAATAAATAAAATAAAATGTTTAGTTTTGGTTGTAAAGTAATATACATCTATTTTTTTGAATTTTGATGTATTTCTTATTCTTTTAATAATTCATTTTGAATTTGTAAATGCACTATAAATAGTTTTTAAAAGTTAAAAAGTTGTTTTTTTGTTTTTTTGGTCAGCATTGACAATGGTCTCACATAGAACTTTTGTTTAGCTCATTCAATACTTAGTCTTATCAACCTGAATATGATCATTTAATTATACTAATATGTATCAAACGTCATTAGAGTTGAATACTAGTTAAGAGTTAAGAAATGTGTAGCATCTGTCCTATCTCCAAGGAGCTTAAAATATAGTTGGGGAGGGAACTATAAAGAAATGAGATGATCGGTTCAATTTATGAAATGAGTCACATAGTTTTCATTCCAGAGGCATGACTCTAAAATTAAAATAATGTGACAGTAATAAAAAATAACTCATAAGGTGGTACATGATTACCAAATACTGTGAGACTGAGTTCAGAAAAGCTCTTTCTGAGTTTCTAAAAGATATTGGGGGGGGAGAAGACCTTGAAAAACCCTGCACAGTATCGTTTAGAAGCTATAAGACATCTTTAGAATTAAGAGGTTCAAGTGTTAGTCTTAATTCTAACAAATTAAGGTAGTTAATTCTACCAAAAACTGGTAGTGTAATGTTGGGCAATTTACTACCTGGGCCTTTACTTTTTCAAAGAGGATGGATTTCTATTCATAAATAAGTTTATCTTCCATCTGAAACCTGGAGCCTTTCAGATAGGGAGTTCAGCTTCACAGTCAGTTGTTCCAAAATAAAGAAACTGTGGTTTTTTTCCTACCAAACTAAAAGTGTGGGTAAAATAAATACTGGTGGAAGGAGTCAAATCAGAAACAGGGCTATGATCTTAAGGAGATCATTTTTGATATTGTCATTGTCCTCTTTGCTATGATTCTAGTTTGCTGTTTATTTTACTTTCCCTCAAAGAGAGGCTGTAATTCTTCATGTAACAAGCCTTTAGCAAATGCACAACTCGCACGTAAGTTTAGAAAGCTAGGATAAAATGAAATTGAAAATATTTCATACAACAGTATAAGTATTCTTTATTTAGGATGTGAAGATCATCAGGTAAACACCTGAGATTTCCAAAGTATGAGGATCCTCATACTTTGAGTCTTTATTTTTGAGGCATTTAATGAAAGATCTTTGGTGTGAAGGAGTTTTTGTTGTATGAAACTTGAAAGCAGGGAGACAATGGAGAGCAGGCTTCTACAAAACGAGTATATGAAGATTTCAGATGCATGAGAAAGTGAAGGAAGAGCAGTCAAGGATGGTCAAGGAAATTCAGTTTACAGATCCAAAGGAGCATAACCTTGTTTTAAGCCAGAAGTGGGGGAGTGCTGGTGGCAATGAATTTGTGATTTTTTATTTTATTTTATTTTTATTTTTTTAGCTCAATGAGATAGGAAGAGAGTCATTAAGGGCTATGACAAAAGGAGGGATACAAACCATGCTTAAAGATGTTAGACTAGAGTAGGAAGTGGGTGAAATGGAAGACTGAGATCTTCAAAGAGGCTTTCCCGAAACAAGGGCAACCAGAAGATTGTGCAGAATCTCTAGAAACTATGGTTTCATTTACAGGGTGGTACTATCCATACTAATATATACGTCAGATTGCTCTAATCCTAGAGGCCAGCATTTACAAAATGGTAAAAAATGTAAAATAATCTAAAAACTTTTTCTAAAGAACGAACACGCAAATTGATAATATTCTGGGAGATATAATATATTCTTTAATGAAAACTCTCATCTTAGAAAACAATGCACAGTATGACAGGACCTAGCATTTGATCTGCTTTCCAAATCCAGACCAAATCTACTGCTTCATTTAGTCGATGAGTTTTGTTTCCTAAGCTAAGTTTAAGTAATTTTTTGGTGCTAACCACAATTTTTTAAAGTATTTTTTCAGGTTGGTGCTTCCGTCTAACCAAACCAAGTTTTTCTTTCTTATGCAAACTTCCGGTAGAAGGTAGGATTAGTTCTCTTAGACTGCCACACCCAAAAGTCCTTACGACTTGACAAAAACAATTAGTTGTCAGGGACGACTTGCCAGTAAAGCCTCGCTTTTTTAAATGAAACGCTTTTCTGGTTAACTCTTACCAGAGGTCTTCCAGAACATGAAACAAATACCAGCAATTTAAGAAATACTCGCTTTCTTCACCTTCAGACATAAAACATTTTGCACTTAAGAAGTTAAAATCTAACTGAACCCGTATTTCTGTTCCAAAGGTCTCTAGAGAACCGATATATGCTTTCATATATCTACTCAGCTACTCTAAAAGGAAACACTTTGTTAGCTAATTGATTTAGCCCTATGTCTCCACCCAAAAGGGAAATGGTATTGTATTCAGGAGTTTCTCCTTGAGCCGCGAACTAAATTCCAAACCCTTCTTTGTCCAAATATCCCTTAAGGAAAAAAGTTCTGACTACAGGAGCGGATACTGAGCTGAAGAAGTTCCAAATTTGAGTTGGTTATTCCTACTAACATAGCCACACCGCTGCAAGAGCAGGTGCAGTGCGGGGGAACAGTGGGCTTCGGTTTTTGCGCAAACTCTCTTGAATCGGGAAAGTTTACGTTAGAAATTAAACATAGCCCCGGAGTCACTTCTGCGCGGCTCGGGTTTCGCGGACCCGGCAGTCGCCCAAGCTCAAGGCACCAGCGAGCTAAGCCACGTTTCCCGAGCTCCAGGTTAAAGCTGAGGAGAAAAGTTCGCCTGTGGGCCCCTTCCGGCTGCGGCCTTCGATCCCGGAGTTGGCCCTTCGAAACCGGGGACCGGGCTGGCACACCTGCCCAGGTGCGCTCCCGGCGCCGGGGGCCCGCCGCGAGGTGCCGCTGTCCTCCCAGCCGTCACGCCCTCGGGATTGGTCTCACCCGCCCGACCGAGAGCACCACTCACCCTGCACAGCCACGAGAATCCGAGCACCTCTGAGACCCCTCGCTGCCTTGGCTGCCGCTACCACCACCCTTCCACCCTGAGCCGCTAAAACCCAACACTTCCGGCCTCCCTTTAGCAAACCGGAAGGAAGCCCCGTCACCATTCTCGGCCAACAAAGTGGTCCTAATTTAATGGGAAGGCGACAGGGAGGGACGTTGCCACTGTGATCTGCGGACTTAATATTGACCTAGTGCACAGGAAGGAAGTGTAAAGCGGCCCACTTAGAACAAAGAGGAATTTTTAATGGTTCTTTGGGTCCTGAGTTTCCATCTTTTTTGTACCTATTCTTGCAACGTAAGTCTTCCTCCCCCCCTTTCCTGTGCGCAGATGGTTGCGTCCGTCCTGTGGCTTAGCCCCTCCGCACATTCCAGGGCACGGCGAGGGGCGGGGCCAGTTAGCCCAAGTCCTTGTAGGGAAATCGCCGAGAAGGCTGCGGGGCCCACGTGACTCGTGCTCGCCCCGCCCCCGAACGCCAGGCTCCTGCCGCCGGGCGGTAGTGCCCCTGCGCAGGGGCTGGGACTTCGCCGGAAGGTTCGGAGCGGAGCGTGCCGGGGAGGTGACCTTTGCGCCAGGGATTTGAGTGTGCGGTGTTGTTTTGTGAAGAGGCTCACTCCTTCCACACCAGAGGAAACAGTGTGAAGTCCCGAGGGCCCTCGGCCAAGTGCCCGCTATCTTTTTGCCTCAGACGTATTTCACAAGGTCACGCGAGGCTGGAGCCTTCCTCCCTCTCAGAAGCGTGTCCTGTTAGTTTTCCCCCCAGAACCCCTTTGGTCCTAACTAGAAGAGTCTGGTTTGGGTCCGACTAGGAAGGGAGACAGGCGACTCTTGCCCCCATCTTCACTATGATGATGACTCACGGCTTGGTGAAAACAGGAATAAAAAGTTGGGCCTGGTTTTTTCCTCGGCTCTCCTCGCCTAGGACAGTTTCTAACAGTGTCTCTCGTTTAAGGATGAGAAACCCCTCCCCGATCCTACATTTTCCGTCCAGTCTTGTGAGGAAGACCGTGGTGGTTGTCACCTCAGCTCCCTGACCTCATCTACGAGAGGTGAGAGGGGGATCCGGTAACCCTCCGATCATCATCCCAGCACTAAGTCTGGTGACTAGTTTGGTTCATGTGGCCAGAACATTTCTGAGTTTGGGGTTACCCGATGGTTTTCCCCTTAAACTTCGGCTCTCGCTTGAATCATTCTCCTGAAAAAGAAGGTATTGCTGTAAACGCTGCGTAATAATATACAGTACTCTAAATATTCGTAAGATCAAAGGAACTCAGAAGCAGCCTGTGTAGTAACTAGTAACGTATTACAAAGTTAACTTAGAGGTAAAGACACTGGGGGGGGGGGGGAGAATTGCCCTAATTCTATAGGTGACTGAAACAAAGATGATTAGTTTCCCAAACTTCTTTGTTAGTAAGAATAATTTGGGGTACTAGTTAAAAATACGAACAATTGGGTGCCTCATCTCCAGCCCACTGAATCAGAATCTTTTAGGGCAGGTCCTGGGAAGCCATGGTTTTAATGGGAGTCTTGAGTGACCCTTCCTAGGGAAGCTGGGGACACAGCTCTAGACGGCAGGCAGTGACAGCGCAGACGAGAGGGCTGAGTGGTGAGTGGGGCTGCAGTTTGATCCTGGAGTTGATCTTGGGCGGCAGGGCGAGCACCTGCAGTGCACGAACACCACAGGGTGGTCGCCTGCCCCCACGGAGAGCACCAGCCTTCCACTGACGTCCTCCCCTCCAGAGAGAAAACCATACCAAAATAAGGAAATGGACAGTTTAGTTTCCCCCTCTCAGCTTGAAAGCAATATTCTTTTGCTTCTCTAGAGTCAGATAATCGCCTTGTCTTTCTCCCACTCTGTCAACAGGTATTAAACAGCAACTACATTGCCACACGCACTGTGGTGGGGGCTGCGGTTTATGCTTTTTGAAATAGAATATAATTGCTACTTCTGGGAATGGGGGGTGTGATGGGGGGCTTAGAAAGAACACAGTTACCGGGGGTGTCAGAGAACAAATGTGGAACAGATAATTACAGTACAATTAAGACCTACTGAAGGAACAAAGAGGAGGAAAAAAACTTGTCTGTGGACTCATGGAAATTGTCCCCCTGAGAACTATTAACGAATTGATTCTAGAAGTCAGTGGAGAAGGAGAGGAGAGAGATAATTCCAGGGAAAGGGAGCCAGCATGCCTGATTGTCTGGAGGTGATCAGAGGGCTTGGCTGATTGAAAGTTGACAGAAATTGTGTAGTTTATGTTCATTCATTAATTCATTCACTCATTCCCCAAGTAACTATGGGTAGGCAAAGATTAGCAAGCCAGTGTGGAAAAATAAAATATCTTTTTTTTTTGGTAGCTGGCCGGTGCAGGGATCCAAACCCTTGACCTTTTTGCTCCACATGTTAGAACAACACCGTGCTCTGAGTGAGCTTACCAGCCAACCCGAAATCTTAATAAAATGTTCTTCAAATTTCCATCTAATGTTTTGATATTAAATTTTGATGATTGGACCCACCACCAAAGGCCTCTGACTCTTCCTGATTTCTCTATCCTTTTGGACCCTACAGGAGATCTTTGCCCTCAAGTGATAGTCTCCTTTCTACCTTTTCATTAAAAGTTTAGAAACTTGGGTTCTGCTCCAAGTCCTTCCTTTAGCCTGCTTGGTAACCATGAAGGCAAGTCACTCAGCTAACTTGAGGCTTAATTTTCTGATGTGGAAAATGGGAATAACATCTGTCCTACCTACCTTGTAGAATTTTCTGATTAAATGAGATAGTTTATATGAAAGTTTTTATTTAGAACAATAGCTTTCAAACTTGACTGAAATTCATAGTAAGAAATTTATATTGGGCCGGCCCGGTGGCGCACTGGAGAGTGCGCCGCTTGGGAGCGCGGCAGCGCTCCCGCCGAGGGTTCGGATCCCATGTGGAGACTGGTTCCCGCTCACTGGCTGAGCGCGGTGCGGGCGCAACACTGAGGGTTGCGATCCCGTTGCCGGTCCCCGGTACGGGTGCGACACTGAGGGTTGCGATCCTGTTACCGGTCAGAAAAAAAGACAAAAAGGAAAAAAAAAAGAAATTTATATTACTGAGCAATATTTGACTATTTACGTGACACTGAGGGTTGCGATCCTGTTACCGGTCAGTAAAAAAAGACAAAAAGGAAAAAAAAAAGAAATTTATATTACTGAGAAATATTTGACTATTTACGGTACTTTCTAGGATTTTCTTTTCTATTCTTTTCATTTCTGAATTCATCTACTCAGGCTGCCATACAAAATACCATAGACTGGGTGGCTTAAACAACAGAAATTTATATCTCACACTTCTAGTCTGAGAAGCCAAGATCAAGGTGCTGGCCAATTTGGTTCCTGGTGAGGGCTGTCTTTCTGGCTTGCAAACAGCTGCCTTCTCGCTGTGTCCTCAAATGGCAGAGAGAGAGAGACAGACTGATCTCACTTCCTCTTCTTATAAGACCACAGTCCTATTGAATTAGGGTCCCAGCCTTATGACTTCATTTAACTTTATCTCCTAAAGATCCTATCTTTAGATACAGTCACATTAGGGGTTAGGCTTTCGACGTATGAAGGTACTTCAAAAAGTTCATGGAAAAATAGAATTGAAAGATAACACAAATCTTTCCATGAACTTTTTGAAGTATGCGTCTATGAATTTAAGGGAGAAGGGAGGACACAATTCAGTCCGTAGCAAATTCTATATTAGTTAATTTTTTTAAATGCCCAAGACCCACTAAATGAGTTTTTGATCTACTGATGCAGTGGTTCTCAACAGTGAGGGAGTTGGGGTGGATTTTGTCTTTGAAGGAAGTTTTGGTTTTCACAACCAGGGGGCTGCTACTGACATTTAGTGGATAAAAGCTAGGGCTGCTGTTAAGCATCCTACTATGCACAGGATAGCCCCTGACAACAGAGCATTATTTAGCCCAAAATGACAGTAGTGCTAAGATTGAGAAAACCCTGCATTAATAATCAATTATTTGGGGGTACTATAATTACTGAAAGCACAGTTTATTGCTCCTGCCTCAGGGTAAGCATCTTTTTCCCTCCTGAGGTCAGATCTAAAGGGAGGAAGAAAAGGAACAGTTACTACGTGCCTATTATGTGCTACATATTCTACATAAGCATTTCTGTCATTTAATCCTTACAACAACCCTGTGAGGTAGGTATTATTACTTCCATTTCACAGGTTAGAAAACAGACTTAAATACTTTAGTGCCTTGCATAGGTTACCCAAAAGGCAATGAAAGAACCAGGATTATAACTCATGTCTCTGATAGTCCAGAGGTGGGATAGGAGGGAGGACAGGGGCCAGTATTTCTTATTCACATATCCCTAACTTCTAATATAGTACCTAATTATCCATGGGTGCCAGTAAATATTTGGTAACTGGCTACTTGTTCAAGTGAGCATAGCTTTACTAGTGGCTCAACTCAAAGCTCATGTTTTATTTTACAATACTATGTTCTCTCCTCTGGTCAAAAGTAGGGAAACTCCTTGCCCAAACAACATGAGAGGAAGCATAGCAGAATTGATCCTTGGCATTTACAATCTAAGACAATGATTTCATGTTGATCACCTGTAATTTTTATTGCATGTAAGAAACTATTGAATGTTGAGAGTCATGGCTTACATTCTGGTTTTTCCCACAAAAAATGGAATTCTAATTCTTTATACATAAAATATGATGTAACAGTTAGCATTAATCCATAAATCCAGGAAAACAGTAGGAGGAGCTCCTCTCTTTTTTTTTTTAAAAGATGACCGGTAAGGGGATCTTAACCCTTGACTTGGTGTTGTCAGCACCACACTCACCCAGTGAGCAACGGGCCATCCCTATATGGGATCCGAACCCGTGGCCTTGGTGTTATCAGCACCGCACTCTCCCGAGTGGGCCACAGGCCGGCCCCAAGCTCCTCTCTTTTAAATGAATAAGGGTGTTTAAGTAAATCTGTATGGAAATTAATTATAAACACCAAGACTATGAATAGTGTGTTAAAAGGTTATAGAAAATGCTACATAAAGCATTGCTAATTTAAAACTTTGACCAAAATTATTTTAAAATTCAGGAATGATAAACAAGATAAAAAAAATTATGTGAAATTGAATTAAGAATATTTGGAGAAATTTATTACTGCCATACTAGTAAATCTGAAAAAATAAGCTCAGAAAAATCAAAATGCTAAATGAGATGCAATAGAAAGAATATGAATAATGCAAACCAAAAGAAGAAATAAGAATTACCTAGATAATAAGTTATCTGGCCCTGATAATTAATTGGAGAAATGCTGCTTCAACTCTTATAAGACAAAGATTCCTATTATCAT